GAAATTACTGTAATGTTGGAAAAGTAAAATGCAAATTCTGGATTTTCATAAAGGAAGTTGAAAGTTGCAGCTAGTGATTTAGGAGGTGGAAGAGGAGATTTGGAAAGTATTGTTAGTTCAGCATATAAATCAAAGTAGTGGATAAGAACTTGTATTGTTGATATTTTCTTAGAAATTGCTGTATTAAGCTGGTGAATACTATGCCTCATAACAAGTATAATTTCTGGAGCTACTGTTAGCTTCACTTCGCGCCATGGGTGGAAATTCATGAATTTCTTCTCACACTTGCTAAGTAGGCTGTTAGAGCGACGAGTGGGAGGGAAGAATAAGATCTACTATTCATTTACGAATTTATTTTTAAAATTTTTTAAAATGAAAATGTCAGACATTAGATAACATATGAGCAATGGATAATGAGATAATACATGTGAAAGGTTCAAGAATTAATTTTTAAGGTACTTTTTTGTATCCAAAATTACAGACATTAGTTCATAACATTTACCCTAGGTTGCATGGATAAGGGTGTGGACACGGACACGGGACAAACAAGTTTATAAAAGGCAGGATACGGGGACATGGATGCACACACATGCACACGCGCACTCGCGCGCGCACACACATTAGGTCAGATGTTGAATTAAAATACTCATAAAATTTGTATGTTTCTTACTATCTATAACAATTAAATCAAACTAAGAATTGAGGTTTAACAACAAAAGTTTAGTTTTGATTGCATGGAATATGATGTGTATTTTTCAAATCTTTTAAGTAATGGTTTTGGTTTTCAGGTTCAAAAGCCTAAAGGTTTTGAGCTCAATGTACCAAAGAAACTAGTTTAGGGTTATAAGTAATGGGGAAATCGGGTTTTGAACTACACATGTCCATGGCGTGGCCGCAGTGAATCCATGTCCGATATGCGTCCAACACGGATATGTTATCCATAACCAAGTGTCCGGGTAACCTAGCTTTTATCAATCAAACCAGTTATCCAGGTTTTTTGAGACCTTTTATTGGCGAAAGGATGTATTCTGTCGTTTATAGTCACTTCCCAATTTAGTCATGAAGCTTGCATATGGTTACCACTTTAAAATAGAAATGCGATAAAGAATTGTGTTAATGAACTCTCACATGTTCCTGATAATAACAATAGTCATTATCTGTCCTCAATTGTTTGCAATTATGTTTCTAGTTCAATTTTTTTTCATCTATCATACAATGCCTTTTTATGCGACGATTGAATCTGTCCTACACCTGTTATTTTCAATTCATAGTCGAAAATGGTATACGTCGACACCGTGGATTTCTGAGTGTTGCTTGTTGCCATGTAATTCTCCTCCATCAGACATGAAGGGATGCTTAAGACTCGTAGCCAAAGTATTTAAGATTTTTTTGGGCCATCTTCACTAGTTTCATATACTTGGTTATTTTAATTTTTGCATCAATGTGAATTATTGTTTCTGTCATGGTATTGTGAACCAGTAAAGTTAAATCAATGATTTGCATGTGTAGCTTCCTAAACCCAATGAGTAAAGATAAGCGAGTCAGGGTGCTCCCAAACTAAAAATATCATAAAATACTCATCCTTTTCCCCTCAACTATCTATCCAATATTTTTCAGATGTTCATTTTTTGTGCACTTAATGTATGACCCAAATCTTCAATACATCTGATTCTCATTGTTATTAGGTATTCAGATGGATGCAAAAGCAAAGATGGTACATTGCAGACAATGGCATATACTCAAAATTAATTTCGGTAATGGGCAAGAAAGGCCAAACGAGGATGGCCATGTGGCTTTTCACAGAGATGAGAAGTAGTGGATGTAGACCTGATACTTCAGTTTACAATGCACTAATAACTGCTCACCTCCATTCTCGTGACAAATCCAAGGCTCTTTTAAAAGCCTCAGGATATTTTGAGAAAATGAAAGGAATTGAAAGGTGCAAACCCAACATTGTGACTTACAACATTCTTCTAAGAGCCTATGCCCAAGCTGGCGATGTAAAACAAGTGGAAGAATTATTTAAAGATCTTGAGTCAAGTATTGTGTCCCCTGATATTTATACTTTCAATGGAGTAATGGATGCTTATGGGAAAAATGGTATGATTAAAGAGATGGAGTCCATACTTCTGAAAATGAAGAGCAATCAGTTGAAGCCAGATGTCATCACATTCAATGTGCTTATTGACACTTATGGAAGAAAGCATGCATTTGATAAGATGGAGCAAGTGTTCAAGAGCTTGTTGCGATCGAAAGAGAGGCCAACGCTGCCTACTTTCAATTCAATGATATTGAATTATGGGAAGGCTAGGCTCAGAGAGAAAGCTGAAGCAGTCTTTACCAAAATGAATGAATTGGGATTGAAACCAAGTGTTGTGACTTATGAGAGTTTGATCACTACCTATGCATTGTGTGATTGTGTTTCAAGAGCTAGAGAGATATTTGATGAGCTCGTTATGACTAGGAGAGAAGTGCAAGTTTCTACTCTTAATGCAATGCTTGATGCCTACTGTATCAATGGTTTGGCTACTGAAGCTGACAGGCTTTTGGATGATGCGAATGAAAAGGGTTTAGTGACAAATGCTTCTACATATAAATTATTGTACAAGGCTTACACTAAGGCTAATGAGAAGCAGCTTCTTGATAAATTGTTGAAGAGAATGGATCGAGAGGGTATAGTCCCAAATAAAAAGTTCTTTTTGGAGGCTTTAGGAGCTTTTGGTTCTTCTAGTACAAATACTAAGACTAGGAAAGAGGCAAAGAGTTCAAGTGCTACAAGAATTCTTGCCGGGACATAGCAAAATTCCAGTTCATCTATTTGTATGGCTTGAGATCAGATGATGATACCATATCCATGTAGGTTCATCCTAAAACAGGTATCATTTAATTCTATATTTTTTTTCTAAGTTTCAAATTTTGTATCTCTCATGTATGTTTTATGCTAGGATGAAAGTACTAGTTTTTGAGTTCTGTTCGAATGGTGAGTTCATGATTATAAGATATCTTAATTGTTGCAGTAGAACATTGAATTTGACAATTATGGTCAAGTTCATATTTGTATATGCTTCTTGAGAAACTCATGCTTAAATTTATTAAATTCGTAGAGTTTTTTTCTTATTATATCAGTACAACGAGAACTACATATATTCATAAAGTTCTCATACAATTGTTTGGCTCTCATCTTGAATGCTTATCAGTTAATGTTTGCTTAGATTTGTTGATTTTATTTGTAATACTCAGCTATACACCTTGAAGTTTCTATGTAATGTGTGATTAGCGGTTTGGATTCCCATACTAGATAATTAAGCTGGTTGTTGAATAGCATAAGGTTTACTTTCTTGTTGGATTGGATGTGGTGAATCTGTTGAACTGCACAAAGAAAGCGAGATATTTTGACAGTCATCTTTCAGAATAGCATAGGGGATGTAGTTCTTTGTTTCCTCATCTTTATAACTTAATGGACGTTATTCTTCACAATGAAAGCATATCAGTAAATTTATCATGTAGTCTTGTACAAAGTATTGGGAGAGAGAAGACCACCGACTTGGCCAAAAATCAAGAAACGCGGTATCATCATAGTATCTATCGGTGTCACGGGACACTAATTTGTTTATATTTACTTGCATTTATTACTAATACTTCTACAGCTACATGGGGACGCAGTCTGGGACAAATCTTAGATCTGCCCCTGACAATGACAGACCCAAATATGATAGCGCCCAAGACACAGACCAAAGATTGTTCAACTCCCATCGGAAGGTCCGCCCAATTCCCATTCCCTGCGGCAACAAACACAATTGCTCGTCCCTCTCCGGCTCCTGCCTCGCCGCCTGAACCCTCCCCATTGAATTCATAAACAAGCACCAATTCCCTGTACTCTCCACCATTGTCCAAACCACCTCATCATCATCAGAACAGTCAGAATAATCCATAATCCTCAGAACCAAGCTTATAAACCTAAATCAACAGTTCCCGGTGGCACTTCACCAGACCCTACACCAGCAGTTTCTTCTCAGATTTCAGCTTCCCGTAGAGATTTGTGAAATTGTCGCGCAAATTGTCGCGCCCAGTATTATTGTCCAATCTCAAACTTATTTCGTTTGTGTTGTCGTACCCAGTGACGCAAGCACGCCCGCTAGAAAGAAGCTCGTACACTTTTCCCGTTGCAGGCCCATAATGAGTGTATGTTCGGATTAGCGATGTTGCCGAACTTGAGAATCAACCGGCGGTTGTTGACTCCGTTCAGTCACCAGTAGAGTATGCTGGTCTGTTTCTTGTCGAGGATCAAAAGTATCGAAGAGGGTGAAGACGGAGGGGAAGACAGGACTGTGGTGAAGGGAGAGTCGGAGGGTGGATTTCTTCCCTGGTGAAGGTGTTGGTGATGATGCAAGATTTGCTGGCGACGACAATGATGTAGCTGTGGGAGAGATGTGCTGAAAGGGGAGAGAAGGTAAGGGAGGGGGTTGGAGGGTTTTGAGGGTGAAGGGGGAGGAGGTGGTGGTGGGAAAGGAGGGAAGGAGGAGGCGGCGGATACGGCAAGGGATCGTGACGAAGTTCAGGGCGGCTGCAGCGAGGTAGCGGTTAATTTTGTACTATGATGAGAGGGATAGTTTTCGAATATATTTAATAATTTATTTTTCTTTTAAGATATCTTAGTTACCTTGTTGTGATGCCACATTAAATCTTCCAGTTACACTCTGCCAAATAGTTGGTATTCATATATGCATGTGGATCACTACTTACTCGTTGTGTGATCGTGTTTCACGAGCTAGATATCTATTTGATGAGCCTAGAAGAGAAGCGCAAATTTCTACTCTTAATGCTACGCTTCATGCCTACTGTATCAATGGCTTGGCTATTGAAGCTGACAGGTCCCTGGGTGATGCAAATGAAAAGTGTGTACTGATAAATGATGATACTACATATCCATGTAGGATACGTGTTTCACTTATTAATGTGCCCGTATTTGTATCTTTCATGTTTGTTTGACGCGAGGATGACGGGGATAGAGCTATCGAATCTGTTTTAATAATTTTTTATTTTAAGGCCCCTTACTGGTTCCAATGCCAACAAAATCCTCCAATTACTTTCTGCTAAATAGTTCATATTCAGATAAGCATGTTGAGACTCTCATTATTTGTGTATTTAGCGCGAGTGGTATTTTTTATTTTTGGCACGAGGAACCTGAAAAATGCTAAAATACTCCATGATCACCAAGGTAACATATATCATACTAATACACCAATAGGAGGAGGTCATGTATAGGGGTGGGCGTGGGTCGGGCCGGTTCAGGCCGTGACCTGGCCTGCTGGGTTCAAGGCTGAACTAGGTTTGATCCGGGCCCGGCTGGGTCAGAGTGGGCTGAGTCTACTTCTCTGATCGTAGGTCTAAGACCGGACTCAGCTCGGCCCACGACCTGCCTAGGTATCACAACCCGTGGGCCGGCCCATGAGTTTTTTGACCAACTTTTTTTTACCTTTTTAATTATATTAAATTTGTATTTATAATTATAAAATAATTTTTAATTTATTTTTTTAGTAATTTAAACTTGTATTAAGCTATTTTTAAATTTTTATTAAACTTTTCCATCCTTCTAAGTAGACAGCAACAAGCTTAAATGTTACTGCTTTGTTTCTCAATGGGCCAAAAGATCCATGAGCTAAAGACCTATAACATTTTGTCTTTGTTGGCAGCTAGCTGCAGACCCGAAGGGCTAAAGGAACAACTAGTCTAACTGAAAAAATATATCATGGGCCGGAGCGAACCGAGTCGGGCGTGGGCCTGGCCAGTGTAGGTCGGGTCTACTTCTCTGACCTCGGGTCTGAGGCTAGACCCAGCCCGACCCATGACCCGTGTATATCATGGGTCGCGGGCCGGGTCATGACCCATGACGGGTTGGGAACCGTCAATCCGTGGGTCGACCCGGCCCACGTCGAACCCTAGTCATGTGGTACAAATCACTTGAAATGAAAAGGTGATGGAGTGTTTTATAGAAAAATGCAAAATTACCAGATTGGTATATTTTGTTGACCCTTAGTGACGTATTGGTATATTTTCTTACTTCGGCGATAAGCTAGTATGTTATGTGGAATACCACGACAAATGAGCCTATATTTTGGCCGAAGCCAATATTCCAGCCAAATTGAGTCACATGATCCTCACGTGCGGCTCACGTGGCTGCTAACATGACGGTAATTGGGATCAATTAAATTGCGAAAAGAGTTCTTTTTCCTACAACAGGGCTCAAAACTAGGGTTCAATTTGGGATTCTTGGTTCTTCTCCCTCTTAGCATTAAATTGGTTGGGGCACCTAAAATTGGAGTTAGATTCTTTATCCTCAAGCTCTTGCTTAAAGTCAGGTTCAAGTATGAGCATGTAAGAAGCAAACTAATGGCTCAATGGGATGAAAAGCCCTAATTTACACAAATCAAGATTCATCCACTCCCTCACATGAATAGAGAAAAAGAGAGAAAATAGAGATTTTTTGGTGGGTGGGATGTTTGGTTCTTTTTTCCTTTAAGTTACCCTGTCACGTAAGCGCATTTAATCCACATTACTTATATCTGAGGAGTCATGTGACTCAATTTAGCCGGAATTTTGGCTCTGGTCAAAATATAGACTAATTTGTTGTCATAGTCTACATAACATACCAAATTGTCGCCACAGTAAGAAAATATACCAATGTTCACTACGAGTCAACAAAATATGCCAATCTAGTAATTTTGCCCATAGAAAAATGAGTCTCTCTTCCTCCTTGCCTAGGCAATAGCATGATACTCGTTTACTTTTTTTTTTGAGCACATTGTTTACTTTGATTTGTTTTGTTAAATTCCTATTAATCAAACACATGATTGCCTGCTTCACTCAAAAAATTCATGCACTTTCCTTCCCAAGAACACTTCTTTTTACCCTTGATTCATCCTGAGAAAATGTGTTCCATGATGAATGATTTGTGATGATTAGTACTTCTATAATCTGTGACATGTTTTGTTTTTTCATGTTAGTAATCTGTGACATTCTCTATAGACCTGAAAAAGAGGACCGACCAACTTTCGTTTTCTCTAGATGCATCTGATGCCCACAAAATTAATGAAAAAATTCAAAGAATTATATGCCTCTGATGCCCACTCATTCAAGTGGAAACAAGGAACAAGGACTTTGCTGGTGTTTAATATATCGACTTCTCATCTTTCTAAATTTTTATATTTGATATCATTATGAAAATTCATCTGCAGCAAATTAAAAACTAGACCAGTCGCATTAAAAAAATTCAAGAATTATATGTATGTATACAGAATTCCTGCTTACAATTTCCCTCCTATTTGTATATTGGCTGGACCATTTATCCAGCAATTATAATGGCCACAAGAACAAACAATACAAACAACGGACCATTCAGAAGCCCTATTTACAACTTAAATTAGATGTTACATACATTTCACTAAGATCGATCATCTTCACTTTCTGTATCAAGCTCAAGGCCTTCTGCGGCTAGGAGCTGAGTAATGACCTTTTTCTTCTCCTCCTCCGCCTTCTTCCTCATCAAGTCTCTCTTCTTCAGAATAAGTGTATGTCTCTTCAGCGTAGTAGAGAAATACTCCATGGATGCCTTCTTTTCCTTTGCCAGTATCCTCCTCTCTTCATCCGGGTCAACCTGAAATACATCCTGACGTTAGGTAAATATGTAAAGCGTGACAATATACCTATGACATCGCGGATCTCCTAGCAAAATTAAGGGTAAACTTCACATTACTACTATGAACTTTGGTGAATTCTGCACTACAATAAACCTTTGTTCTTTTTCTTTTTTTTTAGGTACAGAGAACTACCATAAACCTTTTTTAAGTAAACTACAACGCCTAACAGCAGTTAGGTACATTGTCAAGTGTTTAGCATAAGTTGTCACGTGTCTAGTGTGAGACATGTTTTGGGCAGTTTAGCCCTATTTTATGCGTCTTCTGTATTACCATCACCCCTTCCCTTCTATTTTCAAGGAATAGATTTAGACTTTTTATCCAACAGTTGATGATGTTCGCAACCATTTCCAACAGTTCATGGTATTTTTATGCAGTTTTGAAAGTACATGGTGGTTTTCTCTAATAAAAAGGTTTAAAGTAGTTGTGTATAAAACCCCTCAATGTTCATGGTAGTTTTATGAATTACCCAAAAGTAACATAAGATAAATCAGATAATGCAACATCAGCCATGTGACATTTGATCATATGAAGTTTGGCTATAGCATTCAAATCCATAATGAGAAGGCTCTCATAACAGTGGGACAAACCTATATGACAATCAAGCTGCTGTGAATGCTTCATTTAATTGTCAGTTTCTTAATCACATTTCATGTAAATTTTAGTACATCTAACACAGGGTCTCTAGCAAATTTGGATTGTCAAACAAGAAATGAAACTCAAAATTAATAAAGAAGTATATTAGAAGTAAGAAAAAAAAATTAGGTGGTTGCACCTTTGAGCGGGAAAGCTGACGAACACGGATATTCATCTCACGCTGCTGCTGTTCAGCCCAAGCTGCGACAGCCATATTACCTCTCTGATCAAAAGCCTTTCTCTTTTTCATCAACCATTCCATCCACGCTTGAGAGGCCTGACAGAAATATAATGGATGTCAGCAGAGGAAACAAGTACCGGTGGCCCTATTGGTAAATTTCAGACTCTTAACACAAAATCTTTAAGCAGCATCATTTTCAATAGTAGTATTGCATTTACTACTTCAAAAAATGAGTACCTTCATTGGGTTAACACGGTTATCCCTGTCGTAGTTCCGTCGCTTCTCATCGTCCATGAGTAGCTCATATGCAGCTTGAATTTTGATGAATCGAGCTTCAGCTGTTTCACCTTCCTCAAGAGTCCCTTTACCATCATATACTGCACGAGACATGATTATCAGTTAAGCATTCCAGAGCGAGGCAAAGATAGAGTAGCATAGATATCAAAAGCTATGGAGAGGAAGCACGATAATATATTCCACACATGTGAAAAATAAAAGAATAACAACAAAGTTTTCATTTGCATAAAAAGATCCCTCAAGAGGACAGAAGGAAAAAATATCAAATATGCAAGACACCTTTGAGACACGTGAAACTGGAAGTTTCCAACCACAAGCCTTCAGAGGGAGGGGAAAAAAAACTATATCCGTAGATGCACATATAATATCTCCATATAATTAGTAATTCATTAAATCTGCTCATAGTTACTGAACTTAATAACGCACATACAATATAAAAGTTAAATGGAGCGAAGATCTCCTGGAATGGTGATAATGACATAATTTTATCATATGATGTATCACTTCGATCTCAGGAAGTGTGGCCAAATGTAACATCATCAAAACTCTCAAATTCGAAATTTCCTGAAAAAATGTCTGAAAGACAAAGGTTAACTGATAAAGAATAAAAATGATCATGATTGGTTATATTGCCAAGATCTCAAAACCATTCACACCTTGTTGGCTAGAAACTACCTAGTTCACAAGCCTTGTTATATATTGAAAAAGTAGGAACCCATGAACGTTGTAACTGATGATGGTGCAAATTATTTTCAACCAACATTAATGTAAAGGACTCACCATCCTTCATACCTCATATCAATCTGACAATACAAATACTGGTTACCTGTCTCATAGAGCATATGGAGACCCCAAAGCTACAGTAGATAAGGAAATGAGAATTTTTGAGAGGGATATTTCTACCAGATTTCCACCCTGCATCGATGTGATCTTTCCCCTCCCTTTTCCTACGGATACAAAGAATGAAGAGATAAGGAGGGGAAAAGATATTCGTGATCGTGTCTCCAGTCAACCCAAGGAACCCCACCAATCCAGTGAGGAACTAATCAATCTGGCTCCAAGTTTGCAGGATCTGGCCTGGACCTGCACACTCAGATCCTGAAAGAAGCCAAATCTATCTACTACCCAAATCTCACCCGATGAACGCTGATTGGGGTGCATAATCACTGAAGCTGACCAAGTTGTGAGAGCTCCATCAGTCTAGATAAAGCTTCATCACGTTCATCTTCCCTCTTATTTTTATTATCTATTTTATGATTCAGATGATCAGCACAGCTCCTAAAGTTGCCTTGACAAGGTGGATGCCATTGTCGTGTAATGAATTTGACCTATCTTGATATTGAGCGTGAGTGATTGCTATGCTTGAATCAGCATTCATTATATCTTTGGGTGTTCCCATTTTGTACCGGAGTTTATCGCGTGTCACAATTGAAAGTTGTATTCTTTAAGTTAAAGTTTGGTATTTTAAATTCAATATTATTGTGAAATTACTTGGAAAGTTGGATTGAAACTTTATTGCAAACAAGTATGGCTCTGCAGTCCACTTTGTGGTAGAAGATCATGCGATCATTAGCACTGCTACGACCGTTCTCGTTTGATCTTTGTAGGTTGATGATCGCCCACTACCTCCTTCCTTAAGGGTTGCAATCAAGATATGGATTATGGAGGTCCTCAAGAAGAAGTTTTCTCTCAATACCGACAATATGCCGGAGGGCTAGTATGATTATTGAAGTGGCTCCCAGAACCAACTTAGCCCTTCAAACTGGGGCGTAGGATAGCAACGATTCCTATCAATTCAGCTTTCAATTTTTTTTCATGACGAAGTCTAGACTTCCCACCACAATCAATGAAAGAAGTCATGCAGGCAGCGGTCTTCATGTAGCACACACGCATAGGATTTGCTAGAAACTTCTGTCATGTTGGCCGTAGGGTTCCCTGTTTTAGGCATCATTTCATTTGGTGCGTACAACTGATGTATGCTCTAATAACGTCTAGCTAACAATTTAATATCATGTAAAATTAGTTAATCGGGTTTGAGATGAAGAGGCGTACCATCAGGGTGATAAAACTTAGCCAATCTCCTGTATGCGGACTTTATTTTCTCCTCGTCAGCATCCCCTTCCAACTCTGCAAACCAAATTCAACTGAAAAAAAATAAACTTTTGATTATGAATTCTGCAACGAAGCCCAAATTCCAAGAAATCGAACGTCCACCTAGGGTTTCATAAGGCGATTTCTCAGAGTTCCAATTGGAGACCCTGGTGAGCGTCCTCCTAGAATTGAACCGCGGCGAGGGCGTCGCCATCTTCGGAAGATCGTCGACCAGGAAAGATGAGGAACAGATCGGAGAGAGGCGAAGTCTAGGGCCTTCGAAAGAGGAAGTGAACGAGGCGAGACTGCGATCGGTCTAAGCAAGAGATGAACGACGAGATTAAAGGGTGAGGGCGACAAATTGATTTCATATTGCTCATTTTGGCAGCTCGAATTTGGGGATTTGGGGGAAGTTAGGGTTGAGTGAGCTGATGCTCCGCTCTCTTCCCCGCGAGAGATTCTAATCAGTCCGCGGGAAGGGAGAGGATCTCGTCCGGCTGGGCCCCCTTGTGAATGTGACACGTGGCTGATACGCTAGTCTATGAAGTTTGGTAGAACTTAGAGGGACACATTTTCAAAATATACCCTATAAGTAATTTATTTTTAAAAAAGGACCCCTTTAAAATATATTTGTCATTTTCGACTCAGTTTTAGCCAGCTAGCTACTGGGTCGAAAATAGCAAATAATGTTCGAAAACTTCTTGGGATTTTAAAATCCCGTGTAAGTTTGGTGTCTAATTAGCCATGCTAATGAGGAATGCACCAAAGCTTCACGGGAGTTGAAATCAATCGAAGTGAGCTCTCTACCAAATGAGCCTGCAACCTTATGGGAATCCCATGAAGTTTGTGTAGGCCCGTCGACTGTCTCCGCTGTCGCTGTCGCCGACCTTTTGAAATGCGCGCCGAAGTTCACTGAAGCTCGCCGGATTTCAAAATTAGGGCATTAGCAAATTTTCGGTAAAAATTTTAATTTTTTTCCTCCTAAATTTTTACATATTCTCACTATTTCATCATAATAATAACTTGTTTAAGTTTAGATTTTGAAATAATTTTAAAATATTTATGAATTTGTGAAGAAAAATTAAAGAAATTTGTATATGAAGTTAGAGGGGAAATTAGGGGAAATTGTAAAAATTAGTGTATTGTTTTTTAATTTTTAAAAGTGAATATTATCATAAAAATATATAAAGATTTGACCTGTGGTAAAAATTATGGATGTGTAAAATTGATATTATGGGATTTAATTGTAAATAATATTTTTTGTGTTTTTCGTGTAATATTGATATTGGAATTTTTCACTCTTCAGAGACAATGATGAAACGATCGAATCGTAATTCTTTGCTCGTATGATGGGAAGATTAACTATCTCGAGAATAATATGTCTGTATATGAAGGAGGTGTGATGAACCCGTTGTTTATATCCAAATCATGTACTTTCGATGGATTGGTGCGATGAAACCGTTGTTTATAATATTTTAGCCTTGTACACAACCAGATACTTAGATCATCGAGGCTCATCAGCATGGACAACAGGGGCGGGGACGGGTGAGAAAAGTGAGGGGAAGGGGTAAGAGAGGGAGAAGAAGGGGGAGGACTTTTAGGATATATGTGAAATTTACAATGTGATTATAAATTTAAATAATATATATGGTTAGATTGTTCCAATTTTTTGTTGCTTGTGTGGATCGTTTTTTGTTTATATATGTGATTTTCATGTGTATTGTTTTGATTTATGGTTGAATTTTATGTATATTGTTGCAATCAGCATATATGCAGCAAATTTGATGTTCATGATTGGATTTTCATGTATATTGTTGTGAATGGGGCGGAAGTTTTATTATATACAACGGGTTTTGGATTAGGTGGAACATGCACTTGGATTAGGTGGAACATGCACACAGTCTGTGCATCTTTCTGCATGACCTGCAACTTCACATGATTTGAAATCCCGTGAAGTTGCAGGGTCATTTGGCAGAGAGCTCACTTCGAGCTCTCTTGTAGTTGCTTCTTGCAACTTTACGAGAATTGAAATCCTGTGAAGTTGCGCCCAAACTTCACGTGATTTCAACTCACGTGAAGTTTGGGTGACTTTTTCATTAGCATGGCTAATTAGACACTAAACTTTATGGGATTTTAAATCCCATAAATTTTTCGAACTTTATTTGCCATTTTCGACCCAGTTTCAGCCAGATGGCTGAAACTGGATCGACAATGGCAAATAAAGTTCAAAGAGGTCGGTTTTTAAAAATAAATTTCTAATAGGGTCTATTTTAAAAATTTGTTCAACTTAAAAGCATGGGAACAAAAAGGGGTTATTTAGATATTAGTCCCTCAAATCTTCAATAGTTCCATGTTAGCTCCTCAAATCTCAATAATTGCTCATAATCCCTAAAATCCTAAAGCCTCTTGCAATTTGGTCCTTCAGTGACCAAAATACCTCTTACTCGTGATTTCTCTTTTTAAAATTATCTTGCTCAAAGAAAGGGATATTTGCTCTTTGGTATTCTAAAGTTTACACCATTTTAACTTTAATACCCAAAATTTTTTAACTTTGATATCTTAAATTTTGCATCTTTTTAAAAATTTGATATCTTAAAGTTTTTTCTGATATTCTTTTACAACAATGTTTATATCTTTTTAAGTTTGAAATGCTAAAAATTTTGGCACTTTGACATCCCAAACTTTAGGGTGTTAAAATTCAAAATGTGTAAACTTTGAGATATCAAAGTTAAAAGTTGTGGAATCTTGGGGTTATGAAAGTTATAAATGTGTAAATTTAAGGGTATTAAAGCGTCAAAAAAGATTTTGGGGGTATCAAAGTCAAAGAAAGGTGTAATCTTGGAGTATGAAAGAGTCAAAAAAAAAAAAACTTTAGAATAATAGAGTTTAGAAAGGTGTAAATTTTAGAGTGCCAATTAGCAATAACTCTCCAAAAATAAATTATCTGAGGATATTTTGGTCATTGAGTGATCAAATTGTAATAACCCTAAAATTTGAGAGACTAATAATTAATTATTGAGTTTTGAGGGACCATTATGGAATTATTGAAGATTTAAGAGACTAATACTAAGGGCCTGTTTGTTTGCACGAAAATAGTTATGAAGTAGATGAAGTATAGTCCATTTTTGTTACTTCCATATAAAAAATTATGTTTGTTTCTCTGTAAAAACTAATTCCGTTACTTCTTTAAAAGCTGATGTGGCATCTAGCTGGCACCTGTATTTCCTTAATATTTTTCCACCTTTGAATGCACTGAAATACGGCAGAAGTTGATGTAGGATGGGGTCCACAAAGAAAAAATAATTCTCAAAATTACTTCCTAGTAATATTTCCAAATATTATCCAAACAAAAAAAATAAATGAAGAGGAAGAAGTTTTACTTCCATTACTTCTAAAAATATATGAAACAAACAAAAAAAATGTTATTTTCGCTACTTACTATTTCATAGTTTTGAAAGTTACTTCCGTAACTTACTTTTTACTTTCAATACTTTCATTATTCAAACGGGCCTAAATAAGCTAACAAAAATTGAATACAGTATACAATAGGGTTTAATTGCAGATAATCCTCCACGTATATATTTTATAAGTCAGTTTTTATAAGTCGGTTTAAGTAATTGATTCTTGGGGAAATTACCACTAGCGCCTTAAGAATTAGAAGCCAAGTTTCCCACTAATGTTTTTAATTATTTCAAAAACACCATTTTCCCAATCTTCATTTTAGACTTGTGGATAATTCTCTCCTTTGCTCCTCCTCCTTTAATAGCCACTAACACTTTCCTTACCCACTGCCGCCGGCCCCATCGGAGATCTCTCCGACTTCTCATCGGCCACCTCTGCTCCGCCTTTCAAAAAAAAAAGTTTATGATCATACAAGGAAAACTTATCTATATGAACAACATAATTCATAAATTTTTAAGAACTAAAATTCGTGAAATCAATTTGCCTTTTCTATTTGCATTTGTTCATATAATCACTAAACAATCAATCAAAATCTCTCTGAAATTCCATTTATGAAATCTCTCACATTTTCTTAGTGCGGCATGACATAAATAGTCTTACAATGTGTATGGATGAGTAGCAGCCAAGGGTAAGGGAAGGAAAAATAACAGTTAACTCTTTTTGAGAGTTTTTTGAGGAAGGTAATGGACAGTAGGAGAAGTAAAATTTTCATTAAAAAGTTATAATTTTGTTTTCCTCCAAATTGGAGTTTAGGGAAGGATAGTGAAAGTAAATTTTAAAAAATTAATATTTGGCTGTCATCACTATGGATCAACGACTCAGAGTTAATAATAAAATCATTTTTTCCTTTCCCTTTCCTTAGTTAGAACTTCCAAACATAATGAACTAAGTTTCCCTCCATTCCCCTTACTCAACTCCCAAACAAATAATTATAGTTGCCTTCCTCTTCCCCATCTTTTCTTTCTCTATTTTATCTTTACTTTCCTTCACCTAGTGAACTCCTAAACACAATGTTAGTATCATATCTAACAAACAACACCTCTTCCCAACCGTAACATCCTCAAAATATCACTAACGACCTCTCTCACCAACGGCAAGCAATCGTTATGCACCTAAAGCAAAACCCTCGTCACCCCAACCTCTACCGCTTGTAGTGCTCTCCAATGTTTAAACCATGACACATTTTCTATAGCACACCCATCGCCTCCTTCATCCTGTTATGACAAATTCCCCAGGATAAGCTAATATCAATCACACGAGAGTACGAAAAATATCAAGAACACAAAGATATACGTGGTTCGGCTTGTAGCCTACGTCCACGGGCGAAGAAGGAAAAAAACTTTACTAATTGTGAGGAATACAAAGTGGATCTCTCAATCACTCAATCCTAAATAACACCCCAAAAACCTAATACAACTCTCAACTAAAAGAACAAAATAGAAGAATATCAAATAGGCTTCATAAAAGAACTCTCTCTTCTTGATTGGCGCTCTGAAGATTGATACATCTAATTATCTTGAAAGACTGTTCTTATATAGCCTTGAAGATCCTAACTCATTGTTGTCTAAGGAATAAGAGTTCTAATAGAAATAGAAGTCAACATGTCCTAAAACCCAACAAGAGTCCAAGTAGAAATAAACCTATAATATGTTGGTTGTGTAAAGTCCAATGTAAGTAGAACTCTTGATCAAAATAAACCAACCTCAAAAGGAACACCCAAAGCAATATGGATTTGACTATTTGAGGCAACCTATAATACATCCCGTCTTTTCCGACCATAAATCCTTTCAATATTGCCAAGTTCGCCATGTTAGGCATCCCATTAAGCTCGATGTCACCTCCATCACTGGTGAGAGGCTGCCTAGAAGAGATCTACTACGACCGGCATGGAGAGGGTAACGACTGAGAAAGGATGTGGTGACCGAGAATAGAGGAGGAGAGAGAGCATCGTTGAGACGTTGATGAAGATTTTGAGAAGGTTATTATTGGGATACTTTAAAACAGTAATGTGGACAAGGGGGGCTAGTATAGAATTTTAAAGTTTAGGGGGTAAATATATTAGATCCTTTTTTTGAGGGGAGGAAGCAATGACTCTTAAATCTCAAGGGGCTATAGGCAATTTTCCGTTAATTCTTATATGAGCTAATCAAATTAGTAATTGCAAACTTTTTCCTGTGTATTATAATTATAATTATGATTGTGATTATAGTGTATAAATATATGCTCTACATCAACCTATAACTCTTAAATCTCTCAGGGTTTGTTTACTGTTTAGCAATTCATAAAACTGGTTTTTAGTTTGTAGTTCGACTATATTTGGGCCAAAGTCAAACTAGTTTTTCTTAGTTCAAGTTCTACCATTTAACTAGTTCTCAACCTGTATTTGAATCTACTTTGACCTAGTTAAGGAAAAAGTACTTTCAATCTAGTCTTCTTTTGTAGTTGCCAAACAAACCCTTAGAAAAACCTATAATCTTGACTAAGCTTAAGTATTATATGTGTGTACTAATAAGTCCCGACATATTGAATTTTAAACTAATACTTAATAACTAATTGAATCAAATATTTACTTTTTGAATTTTACATATTTTTTATCTAGTATCTTAACAACAAAAAGTTATTTGATTATTCTCATAGGGCCCTCCAAATCAAATTTAAGCAAATAATTAGATCAATAATAATCTAACTATTTAATAGGCATTTGAATCAGCTCCCATTTTCTGTATAATAAGATATAAGTATAATTCATAAATAGAGACGCATTGGTTCTTTTGACAATTCATGAGAAAACTTAGAATGTGTCTGAAAACCTTTGAAAAACTGGGTTGGAATTAGTCCTGGTCCAGTTTTAACCTAAACCAGGTTACTATTAGGGCGTGTTTGGCCACTTCACAATTGAACTAGACTAGACTATTTTTTTCTTAAACTAGGCCAAAGTTGAACTGTATAAATAGTAAGTTACAAAATAAAACTAGTTTAGAAGCAAGATTTTTCAACTAGAAAGAACTAGTTTAATTTGTATGGGCCCAATTTTTGCCGAACTAAACTATAAGATTTTAGATTGATGTTGTATAACTTAAAACAAATTTTATGGAGCCGCCAAACACACCCTTACACTAGAAAGAATATGGTCCAGAAAAGAACTAGTTTAAAAGACTATTTCCAGCTTAAGTATAGCAATTTAGCTTTGATCCGTTTTTTCTGAAATAAGTGAAAGCTGTCGGGCTTGAGGGGCTGCCAGTAGGAGTGCATTTGGTCAGGATATGGCTTGGATATGATGCTTACCATATCCATATTCGCTTACTTATTTGGATACAGATATGGATACAGATATACCTCAGTAAGGAAAGTTTATATCAATATCTGCTAAAATCAGATACAGATACGGATATACATGCGGATATATAGGTGGGTATGCATGCGGATATAAATGGATAAGAGAAAACTAGATACTGCTGAAAAAAAAATAGTTCATGTAATACAAAAAAAAGTTCATTAATATGTTCATTATATTTGAAAAGTTAAAATTAGATATATTGATCGTCAAAATTAACCTCATATCCATAATCTAAAGAATAAAACAATTGTAACAATATAACTAATATGTATTCGGATATTTCAGATATGATTCCTGATACTTTACTACAAAATCATATTCGTAACTATATCTTATCGGTTATAGATTTGAGTAGCCATATTTGTATCCTAATGGATACAGTTACAGATATTTTCTCGGATACGGATAAAGTTCAGCACCTCTAGTTGCCAGTTTTAGTGCGAATCTAGTTCTTCAGTGTTATGATGAGACACATGTTTTGTTGTTAAGTGTTCAACTCACATGTTTGGTACTCTAAAGCTTTCCAAGCTGACCGCTACCACCTCGGGCGTTCACTCCTAAAGTGGGACCGACATCTAGCATGCAGATCCTTGAGCCCATCCAAAACATCCATAATCTCCACCTCAGCCCTCCCCTTTAACCCAAAAAATCGTCCAGTTAGGAGCTATTTGGTTGGCTAAATATACAAGGAAATTAATTATAATAAACTATTTCCTATAATAGGCTCTTTACTTGTGTCCGGTTCACTTCTTAAAACTAAAAAAAGAAAGAAATGAAATGAGATGAGTTGTTACCATATTATTGGATGATGTGACTCATTTATAAGAAAACTCATTTCATAATTTTTTTAAAGGAAATGAATGGAAACCAAGTTTAAATGGTTTCCTTATCTTATTTGTTGTTCTTTGATTTTAGAAAATCAACACAAACAGGCCCAGACACCCAACAACTTACCAAACACTGTGAACTCGGCCCCACTCGCTACGTCATCATCCCCGAAACGCCTACCTCCTCCTCGCCCTCCCCTGTAGACAACCCTCCAAAGGCCCAAAACCCCCCAGTCTGAGCAATCTCTCATCCAACCTCCCCCAAAACCCTAGCTTTTAATCCCTTCGCCATGTCCGGATTCGCGTCGACATGTCTACTGCGGCGGAGCTCGGAGCTCCGTCGG